CGTTAGACAAGCCCTGCGGCATGACGAACCACTCCCAAAGCATGCCGCTTGGAGTGCTCACCGCGGTGAGCGGGATGTCTCTCTCTCGCATCAGGATTTGGTAGTATACGTCTACCAAATCCAGCGCACTGTACAGTACGCTCCTGGCCATGTTGTTCAACAACACATCCTTTCGTGGGATTGGTGTTTGGGCCAGCACCGTTGCGTTGTTCAGCTTGTTATAAGCGTGAACCAGACGCCACTTTCCGTTCGGCTTCCGAACGCAGAAAGTCGGCGTCGAGGGCGGGGATTTCGACTCCCGCACCATGCCTGCCTTCGCTTCTGCGGCGAAGAAGGCATCAATGACCTCGCACTGTTCGCGCGGCAGAGGCCATTGCCTCGTGACACAATACTTTGTGCCGGGCACGAGATCAATCTCGTGCCGTACGCCTCGATCCGGTGGGAGTTGGGTCGGTGGGTGTTTGCTCACCACGTCCGCATACTCCGTCACCAAAGGATACACCGGATCCTTGGGGTTCATAAGGATCTCAGAACCCAAGCGCGTCTGAAGCTGCTTGTTTAGGTCTTCCAGGACGTTCTCGTCCAAGATCGAGGAGGAGTTCAGCTCCTCTCGTGTGATCTCAGGTCTCATGAGCACCATCTCAGCAATCTCTCCAGCCTTGAGGTTGGCCAGGAAAGACTCAGCCGTCATTTCCTCGAGGTTCAGTATCTCTGCAACCTCTGGCAACGGCTCCAAGTGGACACCAGATGCCTTGACGGGTAAACCGGTCTCACCATCGAAGATGTGATAACACTCTTCCACCGGCCTTGTCGGAGGAGCCCGGGCCCTGGACTCCGAGTTGCTTGAAGCGACGTCGATGTGAACGAAGCTCGGATACGACTTGAGGCGGCGGCGGCGTCGTTGACGACGGCGACCGTGACGTGAAGCTTTGCTGCCCACGTCTAGGGATGTCGGCGCTACGACCTCCGAGGCACTCGTGGCCTCGTGTGGTACTGTGGTACCCACAGAGGAAGCGTGTTCGACGCCATCCTCTTCAGTTAAGGTCTGGGCGACCGCGTGTGGCACTGTGTTACCCACACAGGAAGCGTGTTCGACGCCTTCCTCTTCAGTTAAGGTCTGGGCGACCGCGTGTGGCACTGTGTTACCCACACAGGAAGCGTATCCGACGTCTTCCTCTTCAGTTAAGGTCTGGGCGATCGTGTGTGGAACTCTGTTACCCACCTTGAGCACGCTATTACCAGCGTTCGTGACAGCTGCAGCTGTCTGCGGAACTATGTTACCCGCTTGTGGACCTAAGTTACCCACTTGGCCAGCGCCTCTCGTGGGTGCCGCCATCATCAAAGCGTCCTCGGAGTCGTCATATACGTCGACGACTCCCAAGCATCTGCTAGATGCTTCTGTACCCTGGCAGCCCTTGCGGGTGCCGCGGGTCCTGACAGAGGTGGGAACATGACTCACCAATGCTCTGTCGGACTTCGCAGGGCGGCTGGCACCGATTGCCTTGCCTCGCCAGTCGATCCAAGGCTCGTGCTCCTCAAGCCAGGGCATGCCCAGATCCATATCGTAGGGATCCATATCGAGAACAGTGAACTGTTCGAGGCTGTCAAAGTCTTCAAACCTGACGGCCAGATCCAGATGGACGTTGAAGGCAGTGACAACCTTCCCGTCGGCCAGTCGCACTGACACCGTCTCGTTGCCCTTGCTGTCTCTCAAAGCACCGGACAACTTGTTGCTGCTGCGCGCAGCCGTCTGGCGGCGTGCAAAATTCTTCGACGCCCCAGAATCGATCAAGATTCTAAAGGGGTGATTGTATCCCCGTACACATCCGTGTACTACGAGCAACCCGCCGCTGCTCTTCGCCGATTCGAGAGTGCAGCAGACTCTCAGGGGCTAAGTCCCCGTGGTACGCGCCACCCGCGCACCCATCACGAAGACTTAGTTCTTCCCCAGTAGGGCGCCCCGCCCCTACTGGTTCCCGGCGTTCCCCTGTCCCCGGGATCCTGGCTTCTGCCAGCGACCCTTGAGGACGGGCTTGGGGAAGGACCGTCTGCGAAGTCTTTCCGCGGGACAGTCGCGCTTGAAGTGGTCCATCTTCCCACAGCCGAAGCAGCGGATGTCACGCTGTTCGGCGGACCCGAGTTCCATGGGAGCTGGTCCGTTGGGGCTTGTTCGACCGGGAGCCGACAAGGAACTCCCAGGCCACGCTGAGCCCGGCGTACGCGCCTGGCGATGGCTGTACTCTTCTTGAAGAGCCACTTGAATCGCCTCTTCAAGGGTGCTTGACTGCACCCGGAACAGCTGAGTGCGTGCGGGGCCCACTCGGAGGCCGTCCATGAGCACAGTCATCTTGACGTGTTCGTTGAGTGGGTTTCCCACTAGGGACGCCGTGAGCTCCCGTATCTCTTGCACGTACTCGTGCAGCTCGCGCCTCCCTTGTTTACACGAGAGGAAGCACGAACGCTGGCGGTACTCGTAGTTCGCCGGGAGGAACGCGGTTCGGAGCTGTTCACACAGCTGAGTCCAGGATGTGAAACATCCAGGGGATGTTGCTTCCCGTGTGTACACCCAACGCTTAGCACGGCCGCTAAGGTTGGAGAGTGCAACAGCAACACGAAGTTGCTCGGTCAAAATCAGAGCCGCGTCCATCGCGAGCTCAACTTCTCGGACCCAGAAGTGAAGGTTCTCGCCTTCATACGGCTTAACCTTCAGCCGTATTGGCTTCGGGTGAGGCGGATTTGCTTCCGCCGCCGGAGCCTGCAGGTTCTCCCGCACATGTGCGATGAGGCCCTGCTCGGCCGGTGTTGACACCACCAGGCTCTGCAGGGCCTCCATCCCGAAGATGGCTGCCATCTTCCGAACCGACTCAAACTAAGAGTCGTTTATATGGGAGAGGTCGTTCCTATCCATGGCAACGAACTTCGGAGAGGTTCAGGTAGTCTACCCGCAGTGGCGTGGATTGACTACTAGTGCTACCAAGTGTGACGGGTCACACAGCACCTTGCGCTAGAGGAAGTTGGCTTCCGAGAGCTTACAAACTCTCAGTGAACGGCAGTTCACAGGTCCCCTTTTACCGAAAGGGAGTGAAGTGACCAAATTAAGGTAGAATGTAAACTGAGTATATTTATAGGTAGATAAAGTTTGGATTTAATACAAACTATAAGTCACCTATAGAAATGCAATGTCGTTGACCAATGGTTGGCTTTGAACGACCTTCGTACCTTGTACCAAATATCCCGGAGTATGACGTGTCATTTACCTGAAGTGTGAGGTGTCACACTTCATGTAAGCAGGGTACACTTAGGGCTACGTACCCCGTTACAAGAGATGCCGCAACGAAGTTCATGGAGACGCCTTCGGCCGCAATGAAGCGACTGAAGGTGTTGATTGCCGTTTGGCAAGCGCGCTGAGAGTTTAAGGGAGCGAGGTCTTCCAGACTCATAATGAATTGGAGTAATTTGTCGGCGAAAAAGCAAATACACGAATGATGTGCGCCTAACTTGTGGCTTGTATTGACCCTCAACATATCCTTCCCCCCTTGCTGTCATCGGCATCATTTTACCCTATCCCTAGCAGGTTTAATTGGTTGATATATTTTAAATACTGATTCATTGGTCAAAACCCGTCGTGTCAGTAATATTGCCATTACTTTAATCAAGTTAAAAACTGTGTCGGCACGGTGATGATTTTTGTCCTTAAATTAGTCACTTCACTCCCTTTCGGTAAAAGGGGACCTGTGAACTGCCGTTCACTGAGAGTTTGTAAGCTCTCGGAAGCCAACTTCCTCTAGCACAAGGTGCTGTGTGACCCCGTCACACTTGGTAGCACTTGTAGTCAATCCACGCCACCGCGGGTAGACTACCTGAACCTCTCTGAAGCTTGTTGCCATGGATAGGACCGACTTCTCCCATCTGAACGACTCACAGCTCGAGTCGGTTCGGAAGATGGCAGCCATCGTTGGGATGGAGACCCCGCAGCACCTGGTGGTGTCAACACCGACCGAGCAGCTCGAGCGCGTCAATGTGCTTGGCGCTTACGAGCACGGGCCTCATCGCGCATGTGCGGGAGATCCCGCAGGCTCCGGCGGCGGAAACAAATCCGCCACACCAAGCCAATACGGCTGAAGGTTAAGCCGTATGAAAGGAAGGAAGGCGAGAACCTTCACTTCTGGGTCCGAGAAGTAGAGCTCGCAATGGACAGGGCTCTGATTTCGACCGAGCAACTTCGTGTTGCTTTTGCACTCTCCAACCTTAGCGGTCGTGCTAAGAGTTGGGTGTACAACATCCCCTCGATGTTTCACATCCTGGGCTCAGCTGTGCGAGCAGCTCCGAGCCGCGTTCCTCCCGGCGAACTACGATTCTCGCGAGTATATTTAAAGGTGGGCTAAGCTTGAGCTAAATACAAACTATAAGTCACCTATAGAAAAGCGATGTCATCAGCCAATGGTTGGCTTTGGACGACCTTGGTACCTTGTACCAAATATCCCGAAGTATGACGTGTCACACTTCATGTAACAAGGGTTACACAAAGGGCTACTGTACGTACCCCGTTACAGATAGGATATTAAACCAGAGAACCACTATATTTAGCCAATCATATGGGTCCGTGGGCTACTTGGCCATTTCACTGAGACAAACCGACCCAAAGCTCAAATTTTCGTGGAATGCACAATATACTGTAATACATGTACATGTATCTCGTTTCGTCGCCACGCATGTTATAATTTACAAATCCTTCCACAACTACATGTAACTTAGTTTTTTTACATGTCCAAAACGGGAAACAGAGACTCAGATAAAAACGTAATTTATTTGAGGGAGTCCAGTTAACGAACGGCAAGTACAGTTTTTATCTAAATAAGTTTCGGTATCAGTTGTGTGGCTGGAAAGTATTGGCAGGTCGTACAATCAGTTGTATCCGGATATCATACAGAAGAATAGAGTGTACAAATTTTGTTCATCCCAGTGCATGGGAGTTTAATATTGCATTATTATGCGTGACGAAAAAAAACATGACATGCGATTAATGCCATTATCGGGAGCTCTGGTAATTACTACGTAGTATTACCGCAGTAGCTAGCCAATGATCTTCCTGAGGTGTTTACTTCTTGGCCACGAGGTAACGCTCCTCGACGTTCTTCCAGTTGACGACCTCCCAAATGGCCTTCAGGTAGTCCGGGCGGACGTTCTTGTATTGCAGATAGTAGGCGTGCTCCCACACGTCGATGCCCAGCAGCGGCACGTAGCCAGTGGTGGAGCACGGGTCCTGGTTAGGCGAGGTCACGACGCCCACGTGCTTGGTCTCGGGCGAGTATCCGAGCCATCCCCAGCCGGAGCCCTGCACAGCCGCCGACTTGGTAGCCATAGTTTTCTTAAAGTTCTCGAAGCTACCAAACTCCTGGTCAATGGCCTTGCGCAGCTCGCCCTCAGGCTCGCCGCCTCCACCCTGGTTTTTGGGCGCCAGGTTGGTCCAGAAGATAGAGTGGTTCACGTGTCCACCTCCGTTAAACTTAAGCACAGGGAGGAGAGTCAGCAGCTTGGCGTGGTCGCCCTTGCTCTCAGCCTCAGCGTACTGCTCAAGCGCGGCGTTGTAGTTGTTGACATACGTCTGGTGGTGCTTCTGGTGGTGGATCTCCATGATCTGGCCCGAGATGGACGGCTCTAGCGCGCCAAAGTCGTAGGCAAGGTCGGGGAGCGTCACGGTCGAGATGGCGCGCGTACTAGCGGCACGACGGGCGGAGAATGCAAGGCGGGAGGCAAGCATGAGTACGTTAGGATCCAAAAGCTGAAATGAAGTGGAGTGATACCGGTAAATAAATGTTAAATGAGGGGCGATGCAGTTGGGAGTGGCGACATCGCTGTTAGTAAGAGACCGGCGGGCGTAATCTAAATTAGTTAAAGGAAGATACCGGTACCGGTATCAATGGCGCTGTCCGACCAGGGGTTAATGGTAACTCCAAAATCGGTGAAGTTAATATTGTGAAAATATCACCTGTACACCAGCTAATATAAAAAAATATCACCTAATATTTTCTTCTAGACAATATGATATCATTAAATATCAACTTAATATTAGTTAGTACGATATTATATTTTTACAAGATTGCGTAATCAGGCTAAATGTACCAATTAGATGTCGTTAACGCTCGACTAGCTGAAGTATTACTAATCAACCACAATTGTGAGAGTGACGGCAAGGTTGGCGTCGTGTGTTGGCACTGCTCAGCGCATTAATCTAGCGCCACAGGCAGCAGGTTTATTATACGCACGATGTGGACGAGGAGATCGGTAGAGAACAAGAGCAAATGTCTTGATTTCGCTCTATCAACGTTAAACAGCTGCAAGCGTTTGCAGTTTTCCGCCTTTGTCTGTGTCACAGTGAAATACTAGTGCAAATAGTCGTCAGTCTTAAAGCCTACTGCTTTTCTGTAGAACCTGATCGAAAAAGTTATTTGGCTCCGCTCGGTTCACAGAGGGTAAGGTGGCAAGAAACGTACTTAAGTGGAAAAATATCATAAAATATCATGTAGTATCTGATATTTTTCAGTTCTCCGAGTTAATATTAAAATATTATGTTAGCTTTTGCAAAAATGTGCTACTATTAACATTTAATATCAAAAATAGTACTATTATTAGGAAAATATCATATGATATTTGGTTACCATTAGCCCCTGTGTCCGACCCCCATCCAGTAAAGCCCGATTACGAATTTCGGTATACTGTACCATTTTGTGTCCGGATAGCAATATTTATGTGTGCAGCACACAGCGTGTTCTTTTTTCTTAAAAAAAAAACCAAAGCGTTTTTTTTTTCTTTAATAGATTTTTTTTTTAAAAAACGCCGACACTCAAAATGGCGCTGGAGCTGGCCAAGACGGCGGAGGTGCCGTGCTACCTTACTTCCTGTCCATGCTTCTTGCCGCCGCTAACGTCACCTACTGTCCTTTCAGGCCTCGATCGGCGACTTTTTCGCTCGCGATGACGCGCTGTCGCGTCTGGATCGGCTGCATCGCCGCACGCTGGAGGCTGTGGAGAATGTGCTGAAGACCCCGCGACCACAGGAATTCACACACAATGTGCTGGATTTGGCAGTGCAGAAGGTGGTTGAGAAATTGTCTTGGAAGTTCATGACGGAGGCCCACGCCACGCCCAGCAGCGTAGGTGTCCCAGCGCTACTAGACCTGTGTATCGCCGGTGTGACCAGCGGATTCCTGGTCAACAGCACGCCCTACAAAGTTCTGGAGGATCTGATGGAAGGCCAGACCATCAATACATGCGAGAAGGTGTGGGATCTGCTCGAGTCTCGCAAGGACAAGCTCACAACGGTACGTCTCGATCGTGTTTTACAGCTACAAGGTCTATGGAGCTGACGTCTCGTGTTTGTTGACCAAGAAGCCGGCTTTCATTGCTGAAAAGGGCCGCACCACCAAAGCTTCGCTGTGTCTATTACGAATGTGCAATGCGCTACTACGTCGCTTATCCAAGACCCACAACAGCGTGTTCTGCGGCAAAATCCTGGTGTTCTTGTCGTTTACGTTCGCACTGTCTGAGCGATCGGCGGTGAATCTGACGGGCAAAGCCAATGTGACGAATGTAACGGTGTTCGAAGAACAAGATGCGTTTGATCTGGCTGAGGCGACAGATGTCGCGAAGGCTTCCGAAGTTGTTTCTGGACTGGAGGCAAGTAGCCTCTCCCAGTGTTCTGAAGGCTGAAAGAATGCTCATACTGACCGTCTGTTGTGTGCTTCTCGTTTGTAGATTGACAGCGATCCAAGCGCCGATGTCGGTCCGATCGACTACAATTTGTACCGCACGTTTTGGGACTTGCAGGGTTTCTTCCGAGAGCATCAGATGGCCACGCAGTCAGCGGAAAACTGGGAGAAGTTTGTATGTGGAGTGGCTTGCTGCTTTACTGATCTAGAAGCGTTTAATTTTATATGTCTAAATGTTTTACTCAGTTCACGGAGCTGAATGTGGTGCTGGCAGCGTTTGAAGGCAACGCGTTCTCACCAGATGACCTGGAGCGCTCGCGAGACTTAACCGAAGGCCCCATCCATTCAGCAGATATCGCTATGCACGAGTCTGATGGCGATTCTGACAAGAACGCTACGGACCACAACACCCAGGAGCACTTTTTCCAGCCCAAATACCTGACCAACAGCCGTCTCTTCAGACTGCAATTGCGTGACCCGATTCTGCGTGAATGCATGCTCACCCAGTTCCTCATTCTGTTCAACGACTTGGCAAGGGCCAAACCGCCTCTGGGCAGTACGACGCCCAAGGCAAAGCTCGCGGAACTGACTGAGCGTGTAGTTGCATTGCTGAAGCAAACACCTTCGGATGGCGAAGGCTTCAGTGAGATGGTGACTTACGTTCTGGAGCGGGAGCGCAATTGGGTCAAGTGGAAGCAGGAAAAATGTCCAGGATACGAGAGGTATCCATCTGCGAAGGAGAAAGACGCTTCGACTGCTTCGAAACCAGTTGTGAAGCGTGCACGACGTCAATTAACCTCACCTCTTCTAGAGCAGATTCTGTCGGAGAGCTCCAAGCCATCGCAGATCTTGGAGAAGATTAAGGGCAAGGAAAGAGGTGCGTATTGGAACGTCTTAATGCGCTCTTCTTGGCTTGTCCTCCGTGGGTTTTAGCAGCCTCATCTAATGTTGTTGGCTCGGTATGAAAATTTAGCTACGGAAGTCTCGTTGGCAACGTATACGGACCGCTTTAAAGAGGCGTGGGACCCTGAGAATGGCATTGAAGAGGAGTACTGGCCGGACAAGGATGAGATGGTCTGCTGGCGCACGATGCGTGCTGCGATGAAAGAAAGTGTGGGCCATTTGGAACTGGCGGTCCAGGGTACGGGCTCTCTGGTTAAGGGCATTCTTGGACTTGATACCAATGACGCAAGCAAGGATTCAGTGGATGCCTCCACCCTAACACCCAAGGCTGAAGATGAACATGTGAAAGAAGAGCAAAATGACGAGAAGAAGCCGGAGAAAGATGTGTCGAAGGACAACGCAACCGGTGCGAAACGAGAACGAGACGGCTCTCCTAAGCGTGCGCCAGCTAAGCGCGAACGAACGGGACGTGCTCGAGTTCGTGACGACGACATCGAGGTACAATAGACGGAGGTGTTTGCTTGAACAGTACGACGTCCTAACGTTTTGTTGTGTTTTACAGGATGGTGAAGAAGCGTAAGTGTCATAGTGCATTAGAACTGCGGAAAGCCGTGACATGAAATCCTATTCTCCCAAATTTCTTAGATATTGACAGCTAGTTTATCTACGTCCTACTATCACGAGCAATTTTGATCCAGCTACGGAATTTGGTTGCGGGGCGAGCAGTGATCCTTAAGTTCGTGAGCATGGTCAAGCTCTTTACCGTATACACATGATATGAATGTGTTTTCTGAGTTAACAATAAGTCTCAAGCTGCAAGAACTTAAGTACGTGGTTAATGACCGAATAACCAGCCACTGAAGATTGCGTCGACAGCGCTGACCGGCAGATTGTAATACACTGTAGAAAATAATTTCCGATTCTCATTAGGAGGCAACTCTTGCTACTGCAACGACGAGGCTAACCATCATGAACCAGCAGTACTTGTCCAGCACATGCTGCAAGTATCCCAAGACCAACAGGCCATCGAAGCAAGTGAAGATCGAATTCTTTGCAAGCTGGAGGAATTGTCGTGTGCAAATTGGGACATCACCAACTGGTAAAAACGTGTACCCATACTAAAATCAACCCATTGACACACCTGGGTTGACAGAAGATCGCGACGGTCATCAAACTTCATTTCCACTTTTACTCTCAAGCACAAGCTCAACCTTCCCACTCCAAGTCTCGGTGCTAAGCATGGCTAACAACAGCGAAGGCAGTCCGCGCGTGATCCGCCTGCCACCCTACAAGTATGTGCACGTGCTAGACACCAACTCCAACGTGTCACGTGTGCTGGCGGGTCCGCTGACGTACACGCGCCAAGAGCATGAGCACGTCATGACGCCTCCTCAGAACATGATCGTGTTACCAGCGCAGCATTACGTGGAAGTGCGTAACCCCGTCGTACGTTCTGAAGACGGCAAGATCGTACGTGATGCATTCGACCAGGCCAAGCTCAAGCACGGCGAGATCGAGTTCCGCATCTTCGACAAGTACCCGGAACCGTTTCCTTTGTATCCAGGCGAGGAGCAGGTTGGTGAGATCCGAGAGCTTCGTATCGTGCCTGTTGACACAGCACTACGCATCCGAGCAAGACGCAAAACCGACAAATACGTGGCCGGTGACGAATGGCTATTCGTGGGACCGGCAACGTACTACCCGCGCGTGGAGGAGGAGATCGTGACCGTCGTACACGCCATCGTAGTAAAAAAGAACCAAGCGATCAAGTTTCGTGCGGAGAAGAAGTGCACCGACTCGCAAGGCATTGAACGAGATGCTGGAGAAGAGTGGCTGGTCCGTACGCCGGGTGCGTATCTCCCGCAGATCGACGAGGTGCATGTCGAGACGCTGCAAGCGCATGTATTGACACAAGATACAGCTCTGCATTTGCGTGCGTTGCGTACGTTCAAAGACGTGTACGGCACCTCACGTCGCGCTGGTGAAGAGTGGCTCATCACGACGGAAACCACCGAGACGCACGTGCAAGACGTCCATGAAGAGATTATCGGCTACGTGAACGCCACAATTCTCACTAACCGCCAGTACTGCATCGTCGTAGATCCTGTGGTGAACGGAGTGCAACATCGAGGCACTCGCGAGCTGCGTAAGGGCGAAGCTTCCTTCTTTTTGCAACCTCACGAGCAGCTGGAGAACGGTCGAGTCGAAGATATCATCGTATTAGCCGACGACGAGGCAGTTTTGCTCCAAGCAGTTGAGCCGTTTGTGGAGCATTCCGACCATGAAGAAGGCGAACCGGAAGGGGAGGACAGTGAATCGTCTACCAAAAAGAAGCGCGGCGGTGTCCGACGTGAGGCTGGGGAGCGTTGGATGGTGCATGGGCCTCGTGAATACATCCCACCGATCCAAGTCACAGTGTTGGAGACTCGTTGTGCTATTCCACTTGACATCAATGAAGGAGTCTATGTACGTGAACGCAAAACGGGGCATGTTCGAGCTGTGAAAGGCGAGACGTACATGTTGCAAGCCACGGAAGAATTGTGGAGCAAACACCTGTCGCCAGCTGTGGAAGAGCTGCTATCGTCACAAGTAGGAGGCTCGGCGTACGTTGTTGACCCGACCCAGTCGAATAAACTGACGGCAAGTCTTGGTCGACCATGGGACACGGCCACGGGTGCTCCACGTCAACGTGACCCGACGCGTGTAGTGACATTTGAGGTGCCACACAACGCAGGGATCCAAGTATACGACTACAAGACCACGTCCTCGCGTATCTTGTTCGGGCCGACACTTGTAATGCTGGAGCCGGATGAGCAATTCACAGTGCTTCGTCTTTCTGGCGGTGTGCCGAAGGAGCCAAATGTGATCCGAACTTTGTGTCTGCAGCTCGGACCGGACTTCATGCGAGACCAGATAATTGTTGAGACGTCAGACCACGCGCGACTGTCGCTCACTATCGCCTACAACTGGCGGTTCCGCGTCGATTCCTCGAAACCGGTCGATGCAGCCAAGGTATTCAACGTCAAAGATTTCACTGGTGACGCCTGCAAGACTCTGGCTTCACGTATTCGTGGAGCTGTGGCGGTACAGAACTTCGATCATTTCCACAAACACAGCGCGCAGATCATCCGAACGTCCATTTTCGGCCTCGACGAGAACAACAAACTACGCGACGAATTGATGTTCCCCGCTAACAATCTTTGTATCACCAACGTCGACATCCAATCGGCTGAGCCGGTTGATCAGCTCACACGTGAAAGTCTGCAGAAATCTGTGCAACTGGCCATTGAAATCACGACTAAATCGCAGGAAGCGCGCGCCAAAGCCATCGCAATGAAGGAGGAGGAAGCAGCCAAGGGCGAGTTGCTCACACAGCAGCTTGACAACCAGTCGAGCGCTGAACAAGCGCGCAAGAACCTCGTGCAGCTCACAGCCGAGTGTAAAGCTGTCGAAGAAGAAGCTGCCGCTGTGAGTCGTGCACGTGCCCAAGCCCAGGCGGCGGAGATTGAAGGCCAGGCAGCCGTGCGCCAAGCGGAGCTGCGCACCAAAGCCGAGCGTATCGAACACGAGCCCGCATGAAGGAGGACCAGACCCTGAATGTTGCGCACGCTGAGCGACTCGCTGGCGTCGAAATCCACAAGAAGCGCGAGCTCATGGCCATCGAGGCCGAGAAGTTCCAGCAAATGGTGAGCAGCGTGGGACAGGAGACGCTCGTGGCGCTGGCGCGTGCAGGCCCCGACGGACAAGTCAAGATGCTGGAGGCGCTGGGACTCAGCGGCTACCTCATCACGGACGGCAAGTCGCCTGTGAACTTGTTGGGCACGGCCGAGGGGATTATCCGAGGCATCTCGCAGGCCGACCAGTGATCGAGGCCGTGGCACTGCCACGTACTTGGGTGAGATGGGCGCGAACTGGCTTTGTGATCTTCGTGAGACATTTTTATGGGCACTTTTGGCGCCAAAAAAACTCAAATTCGAGACCCCAAAGTTGCGATCAGTCTTCACTCTTCGGCGAAGTAATTTGATACTACGAAGTAATTTGTTTGTATTATACACGCATCTTGTTTGTTTCAGATATTGTTTTTTGGTGGTGGAAGCGCCATGGTCGGCCAGCCCGTTCGCTGTTGGCCTCTCGGCAATCGAAGAGGCAGCCCCAGCCAAAACAGTCATATTCCCGAGCATATGCAGCCGACACAAACACTTTTAATTCTGCGCGGGTTGCCTGTAACGTCATGTACGAGAACGCATTATTCAGAGCTTGGAGCAGGATTTTTGATACTGTCCATGTAGGATTCTTGCGGGAGTCCGGCGTTGCGAAAGAAGCTGCACGTTGTGGCTCGATCTCCGCATATACGTCTAGCTAAGTTAAACGGCGAGTGACACGCTGGGAGGTTAGACGCGCATTTACCGGCGCTTTCTCGACTCCAGTAGGCTCACTCAGCACATCCTTGGATCATCAGATGGCTTCGTGTGAATTTGGTGTGAGGCGTCTCTCTTCTCAATCAGCCAATCAGCTCACGAGCAGCTTCGAAAAAAAACAATTTCAGCGAATCCACATGCAATCCATTTTATACCCTGCGGGTTCGGTGGCCAGGCAGTCTCCCATTTATCGGCATCTCCCTGCTCAGAGGGAAGCGCTTCACGTCAGCCTCTCTTGCTGCGTCTACGCCTTCACCCTTGACACCGAGACAGTGCGGTCCCAGGCATCCGCGCCCACGTATCATCAGCCGTACCTTCGGCGCTTAAACACAGCGTAGAGCCTTCGGCGCAGCTCTTCAAGTGGCAGGAAGTGCGTCGTACCGGCTTCTTACGTTTTTCGACTCGTGGCTGCAGCTCAAACGCTCCCATCACACCACTTTCAAGCATCTAAACCTGTCCAGGTCATTCCTACGCCTCTGGTCCATCTAGAATGACCGACAACTGGCGGCTGGACGTCAAATTCCAAGGTCGCTCCATCGACCTGGTGGGTCGACTACCAGCTGAGAAACGCTCGCTGTTGCGGGAATTCCCGCGTCGCCTGGCGGTCGGAACGAAAGCCAAGCTGTCTGCGATCCCACAGAAAGGCTTCTTCTGTAAATTCTTCGCCAAGAACTGCGAGGAGATGAAAGTATACATGAAGAAACACGAGTGCGCACTGTGCGTGCAATTCGTGGCCTCCACGTTCAACTTTACGCTGTATCTTCTGGTCCCAGTGGTTCTTAAAGGTCTCAAGTGTCTGCATCGACTACGGAAAAGCGGTATGTGGGCTGTAAAATGGGTTAAATCAGCGGTACTTTGTTTTCTTAATGGCGATTAATTTGTATGATTGCAGGAGCGAGTCCGGACTCGCTTAAATCTTTGTGTACAGATCGAGATGGCGTGGTAATTGGTTTTATAGTGTCAGAAGTGAACGTGGAGATGGAGGAGAAGCTGCACAAGCGCATGAAAGTCATGGAGGAGCTGGAATCGACGGCCAAGGCGATTTCCGACACTTTCGGTGATCCTATGCTGGAGTTTGACTTGCTTATGGACCAGTTGGATACGAAGCCATCGGCGATTCAGGTGCGTTCTATGGCCATTTGTTTACTGATGATGCGTGTCGACGATCGCAAGAATTGACCGTTATGCGCGATCTCATGTCGTTTTTTAGGCTTGTTCCAAGTTTATTGTTCGTCATCATCATTTGCACGTCGCGATTTGCCAGAAATTAGCGCAGTCGATGGACGCCATGCAGTCGTCGAAAGCGAGAGCGAGTATTGTTTACGTCGTGCACGATGTCGTCAAGTCGGTGCGTGCGAATTACCCGCAAACAGAGCGAAATGCCAAGATGCGCGAGTCGGCGTTGGTGTTATCTCTGGAGAAGATTTTGTTCCGACTGACGCAAAAACTGCAAGGCGACGCGAAGCATAATGTACGTATGTGATTGGTAGTTGCGAGTGTGAATAGGGGAGATTGACGGCGTGTATTTGGTGTCTATTGTGCAGCCGAATGTCCGAGCAGTGTTTGAGTTCTGGTCCAAGTGGGGACTGCAGCACGCGGCACCCCTAGAAGACGAGGATGCGTCAAAAGATGATCCTATTCTAAAGGTTGATGAAACGCTCGAGAGGTTGGAGCGAGAGGCGTCAGATGCGTCCTCATCGCCCATCAAACCTTCAGCGCCGCCCGAAGTTGTGGCGTTTATGAAGAAGCACAGCATTCAGCCGGGTCCGTGGGAAATTTACCTTGGACGTGCGTCACCGCAGGAGATGGAGGAGCTGGATGCAGTCCTCGCCCTTAATACCAAGTATTTCGGCTTTAACAACTGGCTGCCGTCCGAGAAAGGCGGTCGACGAGGTGGTGAGATGTTCTTGCATCACTACACCAAGTCGATTATGCCATGGCTGCTACACGCTTCGACATCTTCGAGCGCTGGGAAAAGAAAACGCGCCAAAGGCTCGCTGGCTTTGCTGCGTGACGCCTTCTTGTGCACGTGGGATCTGGATCCAACAGCAGCACGTGCGGTGTCTGACATTGATCAGTTCTTACTAGACGACATGTGGAAGAAAATGGAGCATGTCAAGTGTCTGAACCCCTCTGCGTTTGTGTTCGGTAAAGTCAGGCGAGTCAAGACGACCCAATTTGCCAATAGTCCAGCAACAGACGCGATCGTCAAGTCAGTCGAGGACGAGTCGAAGGTGAAGACCAGTACACTCGTGGCAGAGCTGACGAAAGTGTTCAAGCTGGACACAATGGCGCGCGAAATGGTGGCCAAAGTCAAGTCGAAATCGGATCTATGCTATATTGCAAAAGAAATCTGCCATCGCTGTCGCCATCACATGGTGGCAAATCCTTCAGTGCACATGGTCAAGCTGTGCCAGAAGGTCCTTGCAACTAAGAATCCTATGAAGGCTTATTCGTCAGCAATGAAAAGCATGATCTCTCGCCAGATGAAGATGTCTTCCATGTTCGACAGGGAAGCAAAGTACGTTTGCGTCGTTATTTGTTGTCATTATCTGATGAAAAGAGCCACTTTTAACAGTTATGCTTCTTATTAATTTAGGAAAAAGCGAAGGCTGGAGAGCGTTAGCGCTTCTTCATCTCCTGTCACTGAAAGCGAAGCCTCGAGCTCTCCTCACTCCGAGCTTACAGACGCCGAGCTGGCCGCAGTGAAGCGACGTATCCCGAAGCCTCCCATGCTGCTGTTCAAGAAGGTGGACCTGAAAACTATCACGTACCAAGAGACAAATGATAATGGCACCGTTGGTGTCGCGGCTTCCGGCATCCCTAATGCCGGAAGGGGGCTATTTAACCTGTCGGATCACGCGTGGCCGGCGTTCTCCGTTGTCTGTATCTTCGGTGTCCGTCGCATCACAAAGGAAATGCACCATGACGGACTGAACAAAGTCGCGCGATGTGGCGAGTTGGGCGAGACGTTTGTCGTCGTCAACGGTACAGTGCGAGATGTCGACAAGTTCCAGACGCAGTATGGTCATCGTTTGATGCCTTTCGACGGTTTGGTGGATGCGGACGGCTCGGTTGGCGGGTTCCCGAACGACCGAGTGTATGAATACCCAGCGGATGTCTATTGGGACGCTTCTGGGTTCTACAATAACTGCATTCTTGTACCTGGCTGTGTGATTGAGAACCCTCAAGACACGAAAAGTCCCATAATTTTGAATCAGCTGTACATCGTCACATGGAAGGAAGTGGCAGTACGCGAGGAGTTTTTCCTGGCTTACGGCACGTCCTACTACGAGGACGACGAGAAGACCAGCACCACGAGTGAGGGAAGCAGCAACTAGTTTAGCGAAATAGAAACAGCGAGGCTCAACAGTTAGTCTCGCTACACACCGTAACCTAAGAAGAACCGACCTTATAGAAACCAGCGACCAAGTGCCACAGCTTCTCCTTCCCCTTTTCTTGAGTTATAGATTGTGTAGACTTATGAGCTTTTGTTTGATTGTCTTTACATTACGTTTGTACACTTTGTTGACTTGTTATTCTACGTCACCGATTGACGTGCTAGTTGTCTGGGATGACGCCCTCGTTGAGCTGTTGACGACACACAGGACACGTGTGCTGGAGGTTCAGCCACACACGCACGCATCCGGCGTGGTAGTTGTGGCCGCACGGCAGACGCAGCGTTTGGTCGTCGGCCAAATCGCCACAGCAGATCGGGCACTCGGAGCTGTCGTCACTCGCGTTGCCACAGTCTTGACCTGCTGGACAAGGTTTCAATGGAGCTTCTGTCGGTGAAGTGGCTGGATTTTCATGACGGAGCACGCGGTCGATAGCGTTGGCTCGTTGGTGTGTGACGTCGAGAAATTCCTCGACAATGTGTCGTGTCTGTTGCATGAACTCGCACTGAGTGTCGCGTCCCAGGACACTCAGCACCAAGTCGTTCACGAAGGTCTGGAACGCATTGCATTGATCGTACTGTGTGGAGAAGCCCCATATACGTCGTGTTGTGAGACTCGGAGACGCCTTGATAACCCGTTGCATGTGGCCACAGCACGCGGGGTCTTTGCATCCGCTTCCGACTCGACGGATGCTCTTGCGTAGCTGCGAGTAGTCAGCGGTGGTTTTGCTGAGCACCCATTTTTGCTTAATGACGCTGTCCGACACGTATAGCACAAAGTATACAAGCGACGAAGATGCCCGCTGGTTGAAGAGCCCTGCGCGGGCAATGGGAGTGTCTTCCTGTTTGGCTGACGATCCCGGGGTCACCACCACTTGGGTGGTAGGTTTGGGTAGCTCGCACTGGATGGAGTGCTTCTTGCTGCAGTTGGTCCCCGCGGAAGGATGGCCGACGACATCTTCTAGCGATATGAACACCATGAACGTTACGATCTCAAGCGGCCAAGAAGGCAAGTGGCAAAGTGAGGGGCGGACTCAGCACCGCCGCGATCCGACCACACCATCGGATGGTGGCTGCAGTGCAAAAGCTTGCAATGCCACGATCAACTCGAAGTTGCTGCTGAGACAAAGCCAAATCCGGAAATTTGCAGACCTATGATTGGTCAATTCTTTCTGACTAGTAGCTCACCAAAGAGGGTCGCGGTGCCGCTGTTCCAACACAACGTCTGGGACTTGCTGTGCTGTTGCGTCAGCGAAAATGGAAGCACGGTACGGCATTAAAATTGCAGCGGCATGGCCCAAGCCGATGCACCTCAAACCTTGCGGAGAAATCGGCGACAAAGCTGTCCAACTGTGGTTGCAATACCATGGGCGTTAACTCACTGAAATGCTCGATTAATACTAAATCCTTGCATGTATAAAACTTCCAAAGTAGACTGCAGTCATTGCGTCAACATTGAGCAATTCTTCGCTTGTGAATTTCCAAGAACGTTTCTCCAGAGAGCACCTCGTTGTGATTAGCAATGCTTCACTATGTTGACAATGCACAGTGTTGTGAGTGAACAGAAGCAGTAACGGAAAGACTACACCATTTCAGGTTCGTTCTTCCCACCGCAGGAGTTCGATACAACCATAGGACCGGGCAAATCTCAGTTCAAAACACCCAACGCCTGAGTTCAATACACACAGGTGTCTCTTTTATTTTTTTGCTAATTACTTCGAAAGTACCAGTTTTTGTCATTTCGAGACCATTCGAGAATTCGAGACCATTCCACCCAAGCCCGCGCAGTCTCCACCACAACGCCGTTGTGAGCTGCTACCAATCGCCAGTTCTCACCCTCCTTCGCTGCCCCGAGGACACGTGCACGAACGTCTTCAGGGTAAGTGCTACCCATTCTGCCAAAACGAAAGGGGCGCGAGGCGAAGCGATGAATGGATGGATGCCTTTGAGTTCTCGAATGGTTTCGAAATGACAAAAGTTGGTACTTTCACATTGGCAAAAAAAATAAAAGAGACACCTGTGTGTATTGAACTCAGGCATTGGGTGTTTTGAACTGAGATTTGCCCGGTCCTATGTGCAAGTCGGCTCTGGGGTGGCTCCTGCGGTGGGAGAACGAACCTGAAATGGTGTAAATGCAGATTCCGGTATACATTCTCGGGCGTGGTGTCATTTAAAATCAGCAACTGCGTTACAATTATCGCCCCCTGTGTTCACTTCAACCTCACCGAGCGTCACCCCCGTCGCCATTTTCGTATTGTTGCTCGATATCTGCCAAGATCCGGCGGTTCTCAATATCGCGAAGTTTCTCGCGCAGGTCCTCAGACGTATAGCGGCTGTTGAGCGTGCGATACTTCTTGAGCTGGATGACCCCCACCATCTCGCGCACCACCCAGCGACCGCGTTTAATAGCCTTCTTTATAGCAACAGGGTCCGTCAGGTCACGTTTCTGGTAGAATGCAGCTTTGACCTTCTCACGCACGTGGCTCAGACCCAGCGGGTAGTCGCGCCCCACTAGCAAGAAGCGCTTGTACAGGTCCCGCACCTTCGGATCCATTATTGTTCCGGGGGTGGATAAATAAAAGTGAGACTATCAGCCAATTACGACGCGTTATTTCCCGCCACTCGTTAATAGGAGTAAGAAGCATGAGCACCGATGTGGACCGCCGTTCTGTACCCGATGCCGCCACGGCGCTACTGACGGTCAAGATCGGGGACATCTCGCGCACGTCCCGCAAGCACTTGCGGATCACGCCCTTCCGTTTCTTACTGTCCGAAGGTCTGGACGTGTTCCGTGCCAAGGTGGACACGTGTACGGACAAAGCGCTGGAGAATGTGCGCGGCGAGCGCTACATACGCGAAGATCGGGCGCTCTACATGCGACCAGGAGCCCACTCTAAACAGGCAGAGCTGGTGGAGCTAACGCACAGTAATTTTGAGGACCGCGTGACCAGGAGCTACAGGAACTACCTTAAGCGCAAAGCGGAGGATACGTTCCAGTGCGAGGTCTACGTGTACGTCAAGAAAGTCGAGCCCGCGAAACGTCGACTGAAGGAGTCGACTGAGAACACTTTTGCTACTACGCCGCATGGAGATACTCAGCGTGTGGACTCTGATGTTGACCTTACGGGGGCATTAAAGCGGAAGCGCTCTATGGGCTCCGAAGAGGACGACGGGCGACCTCAGCCTCTGCAGGAACAGCACATTGGTACCACCTTCTACCGCCCCGTGAGGATGGTGGTCAACGGAGCCATCGTACCTGTGCAAGTCAACGTACAGGACTTGCTCGGGTGCTTTAGTGCCTTCCAGCAACAGTCGACACTCGGATCCAGCGGCACCGAGACCCACGAAAACGATGTGGAAGCCAACGGTTTCCACGAGTGAATTACCGTTCATAAGCTGTCTGTGGTGTACATGTAGTGAAGAGTAAGCAAATGGAAGGTACCAGACATATTATGCAGCGGGCATCGTTCTATCGTATATATGGGCGGGTGCGCCCTAGCGCTTGCTTTTCTACAAATGTACTACTTACTACTGCTACTACTTCTCGCGTATGCATCCAATGCTGCTTGTTTTTTTTCTCTCTCTTTTCTTGTGCTTGGAGCTGTTCACTTCTTCTTCATCGTCAGCATCTGAGCTTGCCTTTCGCGCTCCGAACGACAGACGGGAGCCAAGTCGTGGCAATCAAAATACCGTACCATGCAGCTAGGCTACATACTTGTTGCGTGTAGGTCACAAAACTCGATCAATGCAAATCCAAATTCAAAAACGGCAACGGGCCTTGTAGAAGAAAGGCCCCGTCTTAGTACTCCGAAGGTGGCAGACCCGACGCGTCAAAACTGCTCCAGGACGAGCCCGAATCCCGTCGCGGGGGACGTCCAACTGACGTCGAGCGCTTGTCCTCCATGCTCTTTAGGTAGCGGAACTGACCAGAAGGTGGTTGCATGTACGGGTTCTGCTGTGGCTGACCCATGTCGTACTGCTGATGCTGGAAACCGAACTGTCCACCAGACCCACGTGACGAGTACTGCAGCTGAAGTTGGTGTTGAGGCACGAAACTCTGTTGCGGCTGCGCTGGTGGAGGCTGCGGCTGGAACGGGTGGTGTTGCTGAGGAAGTGCTGGTGGCTGGTTGTGCTGGTGGTATTGTTGCTGGTACTGATGCTGAAGTTGTAGCTGTTTCTCCATCGAGACCGCCGGTGGGGGCGGGACAGGTGACATCGGGTAATCTCCAAAACCAGGAGCACCGGCTGAGGCTGCGGCGGCGATGTGAGCGGTATTACTCTCCACTGTGCGTAAGTCGTTTTGTCCGTGGGCGAAGCGACATTCCTCCTTGGTGTAGTTGCAATTGCCCTTCAAGAAGTAGTAGCACAGTTCGGTCTTGTAGCTCTGTAGTCTTGGAGTCGCTGCTTGCAGCATCGGTTGACTGCTAGAGCCGCTGTTACCTGACCCAACGTCGCGTAGATCGTTAACTCCGTGTGCCATGGGGCAGTCGCGCCGTGACTTGGGACATGTGCCGTTTTCGTAAGCTTGGCAGAGTCGAGTCTTGTTGTAGTTTGGACCAGGCTTAGTGTTGCCAGTCCCGATGCTTGTGCCGGTGGAACGCATCATATCACTCTCGCCATGAGCAAACGAACAGGTGCGACGCGTCTTGTTGCATTTGCCTTGCATGTAGTACATGCAGATCTCCGTCTTCCAATTGCTTGAGGAGCCTGGGGGAGGTCCGCTCTGACTGCTGCTGTGGTGCAGGCTTGTCTTGCCGTAACCAGTCGACGATGAACGCGACGGTAAGGGTGACGCCATGGATGCCAAACTGCTGCCACTCTCACCTCTCCCAGTAGCTCCAAGCACCGGATTAAAGCTCGGATGCGTGTGTAGAATGTGGTCGATCGACGCCGATTCCTGTCCATCGAAGCGTCGCAAGACCGACTCCAGCTCGTCGACAGGGATACCGTCAAACAGCTCCGACAACATGGACAGTTGCTGTGGTGATATGGATGCATCCAGTCTCCCCTGGCTTGTCTCTTTTTGTTCGTCATGCCCGTCTCCAGTTTCAAGTTTATGTTGTTCCACTGTTGGACTAGTCGCAAGGGGGGTTGCAGTGAGTGAAAACGACTCCATGTCGCCCTCAAGTGCAGACACAGGGGGCGGCACTTTGTCCTCACTCAAAGTGTCTTCAGCAAAAGGTCGGACGTGTTTGGGCGTGATTTGCGGGGAGTCTAGTAGTGACGACGGCAAGAACTGACCCATCAGTGTACTGCGGAGTGTCTGTGTGCTGGACGACGGCGACGGAAGGTCTTCGTCTGCACTCTCCTGGCCACGTTCCCTTCTAGAAGTCGATGGATAAAAGTTGAAAGCCATGAGATTCGAGCCCGACGACGCTCCACCAGATGCACCCGATGCGGTAGCAGCGCTCGTTGAGCCGGTAATGGGCTTGTTCGGCGAGCTCCATAGATTGTCGCTTTGCTCCTGTAAGGGCGGAGAGTGTGGAGAGCGGGCACCGACCGACCCAGAGTCGTCTTTAGTGCGTTTGCGTCGTAGTTCTTTGATTTCGTTCTTGGCGTCGATGAGTGCCAGTCGTTCGTCTACAAGATCGCGCTTGAGCTTCGTGGACAGCGAGCTGAAGAGCGCGACGCGCTGTTTCGCCAGTCGCTGTTCGACACGCAGCTCGACCACGACTTGTTGCAGCTCGCGCACTTGCAGGCGCGACGTCTGCAGCTCGCGTAGGATGCGACGCACGTCGTCGCTGAGCTCGCCGTCGTCGCCGAGTTCCTTCCCATGCAGCTGCTCACTCGCTAATGCAACAGCGGCACCGCCTTTCTCCATCTATTTAGACATAGCCAGTGTTCAGAGACAGCAGATCACGTTAGTTAGTCAAGAGCGGAAGGCGCGGATCTCGGCGTCCAGTTGAGTTAACACATGCCAAACATGGCTAACTTTTCACTGGTCCACCATTGGTGGGAGCCAAGACCAGCCTGGAACGTTCAGCGAACACTAACGAAATTGCACACTTACCCAAGCAACTTTGCCAGGCTCGACGCCATACTCACGGCCGATGTCCGACACGACCTACTCGATCGTCATATAATACCACGTATCACAAGTTCATAGACACACACACAATTAAAATCGTCAGTGATTTGAGGCCACTCAGGAATCTGGAAGGGTCACGAGGAGGGCACACAGTGGGCGAGAGCGGCGGATACTACGTGGACAACAGCCACCGCAAGGCTGCTCAAAGCCCATGCAAAGCGCACAAGCTCCGTTTGCGTCAACGCACCTGTACGAGTGACGACTGGAAGGCCTGGCTGATCTCCGTGGCCACGCGACCGAGCAACTCGCCCGTCGCGGATGGAGATGGCTGCTGCTCAGTGGAAGTCGACGCTGCTGTTGCTGCTGCGTCTCCTTCGGACGCAGGCTCGTGCTGCGGCTCGGCTGACGAGCCCGCTGCAGCTGCCATGTCAACTGCTTGCGTTGTCGCGGGGTGACACGGAGTTGCCGATCAAGTTGCTGAGTGGGAAGGTTTGAGGTTGAGTTGACCTGAGCGCTGGCTGCGCGGGCAGCAAATGCGCGGGCTGGGCCTGGCAGATGCAGCAAGCAGTCAAGTGGCTCACTGGCGGAAAGAGGAAGCCACTTGGGTCAGCACGCGACGACGGACGTTCGCTTTTCTGCTCAAGACTCCAAGTCCTGAGCGGAGCAGTACTGGCAGGTAGGTGGCTCTTCTGCTTTTTCCGAGATGCTCGCGTCGGTTGAGCGAGTCAAGCGAGGCGGGCGAAACGGGACAAGGGCTGGCTGGCAGAGAGGCGAGCAGAACGAAAAGCGAGTGCTTGACCCGCTTAATCCGGGTGAGCAGCGTGCTCCTGTGCCGCAGAATGTGGTTTTGCCGGGCGTAATATGTCGCGTCCTCACCATTAATTTTTCAGAGCCGAAGCTCGTGACATGCGAGGAAAGTACATCGTGTTTCACAGGTCTTGTGGTTTTGCAGACAGAAAGTTTTCAGACGGTATGGATTTCAACCGTATAGCTACATTTTTATCAGTTGTCAGCAGGTTATCAGGACCGGATTTTTGGAGGGGGGGACCAAATACCAGATCCCAAGCAGCAGCCGGTTAGCCAATCGAAAGGCCAATCCCACCGGGACGATATTTTTTACGATATTTTTGGGTGGAATTGCAGTGGTGGATTCGAGGCATGTCGCGCTATGCTAAAGTTAGCCCTGCGGGAAGGCTTTCGAAACGCGAGATATCTTCTGCAACGGTGCTGATTTATAGGTCGTAGCTGAGATGCTTGCTCTGGCCACCCTTGCTACCCACGGACACGCGGCTCCGAGCGGATGGTGGTGAGGCGTCCAGCTCGCAGTGCTTTGGGTTTACGAAAGAAGGCGATTCGGGGTGAGTGCCAGATGGCGAGAATGCTCGTCATCGGGATTGTAATGCAGCCATTTCAACAAGGGAGCTCTCGCCGCGAGCGCTTTGAAAGTGCGAATTGCGTTCGTCTCGAAACCGTAGAATCACAGGTAGAACACCACGCTGGTGTCTACACTTTTTTCGCTAACGGTTTCTGGTTTCATCAAAACGGATCCCTCCTGGTGAAAATCCATAAATCTGTATCGTTTTTTTCATTCGTGAGTGATGGTCTTTGAAGTGACATTTCTGATACAGTGTACTTCCATAGGGCCGATTTCGTGCAAAATCAATTTAAAATATTGACTCAGCAGGTTTTAACTCAGCACAAATTTAATAAATGATTATTTGGTAGAAACCAAAGTCACCGTTATTGTCATAGCCTACGTGATGTGTATCCGTACAGAAAGCTAGCTTGCCAAAGCCAAACGCTTGGTGGGCTAGCCAAACTAGTATAGAGATCTGTTTACCAAAGGAACACGATATTTATATTATTGTCTGCGTGTTATGTAATGGGATTATGTGCTTTTATTGTTATAAACATGAAAACGCTACCTGCATTGAGCTCTTTGCTAAAAAAAATGCAAAAGGATTAGGAATTCTTTTACATAGCCGATTATGTACTACAAGCATTGCTATATTTTAACCCATCTGTCACACGTATCTTTAGAAGCTTTATTTTTACATTGCATTACTCATCCTAACTTTAAATTAGGAGCACACTTCTAGTAGCGCTTTCTCTATCTTGATACGGCTTATTCGTATTCCACTTCATCGCTATCTATAACCGGCCAAGGCTCTTACCACTGACACAAAACTACCATAAAAGGGTGCCATATGCAATCGCTAAATTTGTTTCTAAATAAATAACTGCAGTGTCAAAATGTCTATGATTTCTGATGAATGTCAAAGATAAAATAAGTTGAAGGGAAGGCGGATACCGTGCCTTACAAAATCCAAGACATAATGTGTGCAGTTGCTCCAAGGTTAGGGTGTATTTTTGATTACTCCGCACCCCTAACTTCCAGCAACTACACAAATTATATCTTGGAATGGGTACCTTGTGCTCATCACCTCCCCTTCAACATGCTCCCTCGCATTATATTTGACATACATCAGAAATCTTCGACATTTCGTACCTGTGCAACTTTTATATTTAGTGACAAATTTAGAGATTGCATGTGACGCCCCGTTATGCCAGTTTTGGGCGGCGTCCACTCACTTAACAAGCTCTCTATAGTACTTAAAAGTTAAAAAAAAAAACATTAACGAGAAGCGGGGTGGCTTTGCAGCTGGAAGAGAGAGGTAAAAGTAAAACATGCCTTCGTGACAGCATTTCCCAGAGTCTATCCTGTGACCGTCGATCCGTTAGGTGCTTTAAGCGTGAATCCGATTTAGGAACACTTGTGCCGGGGGACTGCCGTAGCTTTAGCGTCAGAGGATGACGTTCGACTCAAAGAGTCACTAATATACTAAGTTCCTTATTCGAAGAATAATTACAGCCCATGACCAGGCTCAGAGCTAATAGCGTAACTTATATTTCAAATTTAGAGGTGTTTTATTTTCTGTCATTGCGGCCAAACCGCCTGTCTGTTTAACTATCATGCATAGTTAAATCTAATCAAATGCATAACGTGCGGCTTTCCGTCAGCGTACTAAAATACCTTGCTAAGTCTCCGAATTATGTTCTGAGCGATTGCTTACTCCCCGTGTAATGGGTCTACCAGGTCTCCGAAAACATAATTGCGGAACTGCAATTATATCTAGTTTGATACTAAAATAATAATTATTGACCCCATACAAGCAAGTATCATAATACATTTGTCCAGTTATTGCAATAAAATACCTGGCTAGAAGGACAGCTAGTCCCGGTTCACTTTTGCGCGACCGGTTCACCTAAAAACTGGTCCGTCCTAGCGGTTTGGTCGTCGCTATCAGTGTTTAACTAAAGGGAATGGCTAAGCGAGCTCAGTGCGGACTTTGCTGCCAATACTCGTAGCTACAGCTCACATCTCATTTTCAGACTGCGACAATGGCGACAAATAGGGACTTCAGTGCATTTTCTACGAGCCCCAAGGCGAAGGAATACATAGCTGCAAGATTTGAGGTGCTAGTCACAAGCAGCTGCCCGGTACGGGCTATTCCAACCTCGTTAAAGCCGTCACGAAGACTTCCGTGTGCAGCACGCCACGCACAACCACGGTACCGAGCGCCCCCTTCAAAGTTTTGGGTTCGTATCTAACGATATCTACCATATCTACCAGTGGCTCCGGTGGGTGGTCGTGCAAGGCATGCCGCTTAGCAAGGTAGACGACGAACTTACAAGGGTCATGTCCAAGTGGCGATTGACCAGCTCAAAGGCCGTCAAGGCAGACACGATTACGGTAGCTGCGAAGCTGGGTGTCGTGATCTCCGACGAGATGGGCATCCTGTTCGGCATTATGTACGACGGCTGGACCCATGGCACCATGTATTTTGTTGCTGTCATCGGGCTCTACGTGGTTGGCGGACGCCTCCAGCAAACCCTTCTTGTCGTGTCCCCGTTGAATGAAGGGAGACAAGATGCCGATGGCCACATCGCCCTTTTTCGGAGCGTGTTGGCGGCTTATAACAAAACTTTCGACGCGATCCTGTTTTTGGTCACCGACAGTTGTAGCACCAATCACAGCATTGCCAACAAACTCGGCATCCCATTGGTCGGTTGTGCGTCGCACCGATTTAACCTGGCAGTTAAAAGCTCTTAACGTAGTGCGAACAGCTGCTGCAGCAGGTCAACAACCTGATGCTGCAGCTGCGCCAGCCAAACAATGCGGCGGAGCTCGCTAAGCTCATCCCGCTAAGCGCATAGAAACGCAACGTGACTCGCTGGTCATCTACCTACGATATGCTGCAACGCTACGGAGCGATACGGCCGGCGATACGACTTGTGGAAGCTGTAGAGGAGATGGTACCGTCAGCTAGCGACCACAAGAAGCTGGTGGGCTCTTGAAGCACTTAAAGAAGCTCGACACTGTATGCAAGAGCATTCCAAGGCCACTACCATGAGCGAGGTCCGTCTCCTTTTTGATTCGGTCATGGAAGACTACCCAATTATGGGTGGCCACCTTAAATTAACTGCCAAGATTGTGCATTCGCCAGCTTTTGAAAATGGTCCTGTCAGGATTTGCGATGGAGAGAAACTGCCGGCCGCTGAAACTATCGCGCTGAAACGTTTCGAGGCACCGCCGTCTGACGAACAGCCAAGCACGACTGGTCGCAAGCGCAAGGATCTCCAAAATAGATACACTACAGCGCGTGATAACCCATTTAACGTCGTGAAACAGAGGGCAAGGCTCAATAACTGGTAGCTCGAACCGCGAATCGTGTTATCAGCTAAAGCGCTCTGATCCGATTCCATACGGTCCTCTTCTTGCACGTAGTCTGCAACTCTTTAAAAGGGTGCTTCTATCTATAGCTTCTCAGCCTGACCACACCGTGTTCTTTATTCGGATTAAGAGGCGGTAATTCTTTCGTCGCCAGTCCGATTGCCAGTAGACATCACCGAAAGCAGCAGATGTGGGATAAAGGAGATGGCTAGATCATGCGCGAAATTCTGTGTTGGGTCAGGTCAAAGAGCCAACTCGCGCAATTACGCTATTAGCGTATGTCTTTACCGAAAAGAGAAATTGCCGACAAGAAGCATGAATCTCCAGACTGTGGCAGCTGACTGTGCACTTAGACCATCTACACTTTCTTCAATGTGGACTATGTGAAGGTGCTCACTTCAGTCTATTATTGGCTATGTATGCGTCGCCCTCCATCGCAGACGTGGTTTTGTGCTGTGGTGATCAAAATGACAAGGACGTGGGTGAAGAGAAGCACGAAGCCAGTATGCACGACCACCCCGTATGCCCGGAGTGTCTAACGCTTGTAACTGAGCGTGGTGGGACCGTTGGAAGCTTTTGAAGGGAGCGTAGTGGTTAGTGCGAGGCGGCGTGCGTGGCGTATGTGGCTGTAGGTGTTCTGTGCAGTTGTGTTCATGGGTGTGTCTGATTTTGTGGTGGGAGCTATATTTTTGTCGTCAGTGTGCCCGAGCGGTCTAAGGGGGTAGACTCAAGTTCTACTGTGTTCGCACTCGTGGGTTCAAATCCCACCGCTGACATACGTACTCCATTTCGTGTGGCCTCTCTCGCCACTGCTCTTGTCCTTGTTGCCGGGGTGGTGAATGTTTG